CTTTCTGTCAAACAAAATGGAAAGAGCTGAAGAACAATGATCTCCATTTAAAAAATGACTGACTTGTTAGGGATGCAACTGTGCTGAGGAACTGTGTAATTTGTGAGCCCTTATTTTTGCTTACAGGTCATTTTGCTTGGCTGGTGGGGAAATCAAGAATGAAGCACAAGGTCATGCCTCCAGCTGTCACTGGAGCTCCAGAATTTAATAGAACATTTCGTGCACAGTAAGTCCAGAGATCATTAAGATGGTGTCAATGAATAACAATTCAGTCCAGAAGAGAAACAAAACCATCACCTTAAAATGATGATGATCTTAAAATCTTTTCTTATCACTTATCAAATGGTTTGGCTATTATTGTAATGATAACGGAGTAAGTTCAGCTCATTTAAAACAGTCACTGCTCCAATTCTGATCAAACTAGGCAATCAGATTACCCAAATGTAAGTAGGGGCTGAGAGTTAATTGACTGCAACTTAGAGAATTCAGATGTTCTGGATCTAGCAAGCTGTGCTGTCAGTTCTTGGACTGTGGCTAACACCAAACACATGGAAGATGAGCACAGAAAACTGCTGTCTTCACAGTGGACAACAGTGGAATAGTCTAAGAAGTCAGCGTTTTCCTAAAGGGCTTCAGTTTGTGATTAGCTAATGATCCTGTGCAAAAGTATTTATATTTATTTCAAACAATCCCATCTGCTGTAACTGGAGTTGTCGTGGATAACAATAATAAGACATAGAATACATTAGAAAACGTATTTGATAACAGAATGTGTCAGATACAGAAGGATGCCTACCTAATTCATTAAAAAGAAATTCATTCAGAACAACCAAGGAAATCTATCCCAACAAAATATTGGTGGGAAAAATGAAGGTGTCCACAAATAAAGATATTTGAGTCCTCACCCTAAGAAGATCTATCATGTGCTGTCTCTGCCTGACCGCACCTCATAAAGGCAGTTGGCCTCAGCAGAGCAGTCCAAGCAGCCTACGCTGAGCTCCATGCTTCCTCTTGCAGTCCCAGGAATGCTGACCCACAAAACTTACATTGCGAGTATGGAGATAAGTGATTAACATCACATCTGTGTGCTGGAATTCCTGCCTCTCTGCTGCACAGGCACTTAATTTAGGATTATTTGTCCTATTTCTTTCCATGTAATTGGGATCCAGATCCTTGCCTAAGTCTAATTAACAGGAAAATATTTGAAATAGTTTGTATTTGAGATTAGAAAGAAGAGAATTTTTAAGAGCACCTAGTGCTGGCTTGACTGTGCTCCTGCTGGATTCAATAGCATTAACTTTAGTGGCAACTGAACAAGGCCAAAGATGATTCTCCTTGAAACTCCTACCCAGAGTTCTTTCCCTTTCCAGACTAATGTTCTTTCAAATTTATTCTGCAGACAAAACTGTGTGGAGTTTTACCCAATATTCCTGACTGTCCTCTGGACTGCAGGATGGTTTTTTAATCAAGGTAAACACTTTCCATTTTTATCTTGAAATGAGAAATTTTACATAACTTTTTAAAAACACTGTAGTTTTATCAGGAGGTAAATGACTGTAGACATCTTTTTCCCTTCTTTTAATTGCATTGCCTTAGCATAGCCTTCCTAGAAGAATGCTCACTGAAATCCTTACTTAGTCATGGCATTTCCCATGGCTCCACCAGCTTTCACTTCTCTCTGCAAACCAAGGAGTCAATACAAGGGACACTTACACATTCAGGGGATCTGCAGGGTGAATCATTCAGAAAAGCAGCTCCCAGATGCTTCCCACTAGCAATTATTTCCACATTATGGGACAGTTCTCGCAGGACATGAAGCATAGCTATTGTCCCTTGGGAAAGGCAGCCTGAAAAGACTCAGGTCAGAGCACTCATCCCTGGGGCTGGACCCCTCCCTGGCTGATGGAGTTGGAGCTGGAGCCAGCAAACCTTTGGGTTTTTACATCCCAGATGCTGACCTCACCACTGGGCTATGACTCATTGTTTGTTCTGGGATGTAAAACTGCGCACTGAAGTGCAGGCGTAACAGCAGCATCTCCAGCCATAGATGCTGTATTTCAGGTATGCACTGGGGACTCCTGAAAAAACTTGCTAAGTTGTCTCAGGCACTTAGCAGGGGGGCATTATTTGGCCAAATGTTCTGCAGTCAGACACCATAGAGCTTTCTTACCTCTCACTCTGTTGGACTTTCCAAGGTGGGTGTGTGATGTCTCCTAACAGTGATGGGGTGGACTCTCACAGAGCTAGAACTTGTGACAGAACCTAATTTTTGCATTCAGCTTTATTAACCCTTCCCCAGATGATGTTTTAGAAGCATGAAGTCTGTGGGCTGAAGAAAGGATAACTAGCTCATGCCCATTATACCTCTCCTTCCTGAATGACTAGCTGTCTTCTCCATTTCCTATGTTTGCTCCAAAACAGTAATTTTGTTCTGGGGCTCTCTTTTAGCCAGAGTCCCATCTCCACTGCTAATCCAATGTAAATCCAAAGTAGCACCACTTAGGTCAATGAATTGGATACGAGAAAGTACATGTGCTCATAGGCAGATGCTTGAATTGAGGAAAATCAGGTGCTAGCCAGCAACACAGACATGGGCTGTCATATGTAAGAAAAGAAGGATTATGTTAACCTCCTCTTTAAGTCATGTTTTCAGCTGAGCATCTCCCATAGGTATATATATTTACATGAGTTAATACGGACCACAGTAAAAGGCTGTCCTCTGTAATACTGGCATGGTTTGAAAGAACACAGAATTAACTAGCACTGCTTAGTCCTGGATAATACAACTGACCTGCACACCCTGCTCCATCTATCAAGTGGAGGTGACTTTATACTCTTCCCACAGAGAGGTCAGAAAGCTAACTTCACTACAGCTTTCTCTCATGTCCTTGGATAAAAGCTGCTATATAAATGCAAAGCAGGTTATTAACTACATAAATAAGATTCTCTTTCCAAAACAAACACTACCCTTTAGCAGGAGCTGCCATAACAATACAAAATGACAGCGCTGGGTCAAGGCATAGTGCTCCAACACACTGTCCTGTCTCTGGGATAACCACCAAACTCAGGGGGGGCTACAGATTCCTGTCAGTTCTTTAGATCACCTTTTCAGGGAATGCGTTTAGATTTTTTTGGACAGTCCTGTATCCACACCTATCTGTAAACCCTTATCAAGAGCCTTCTGTAGTGAATGTTTAAGAATATATATATATATATATATCTTTTGAATGATTCTTTCCCAAGATAATTTCCCAGGGCATGGGTAGCTATGAAAATCCCCAGAGCTCTACAACTAGAGAACATAACTGAAGTGGTTAACTGTCTACGATCCAACTGTCTACAAGCCTACAATTTTTTAGTTTTCTAACTGTTTTTTTTTTCCATATTAATCTTTTCTTTCTTAGAACTAGCTTCCTTTCTGGGTCTGTTGTATGTGCTTGCCCGCTACAAGTACTTCCATGGTTACGTGCAGACTGTGAAAGGAAGGTAAGGAGTTACCAACCAAACGCAGGTTAAAAGCTCCCAGCTGTGGTCTGAAAGCTGGGCTGAGAGCCAAGGACTGGCAGTGAAAAGTGACTATAATTGAACGCAACATGTGTGAAGTGTCAGCAAGAGGTCTGCAGCAGAAGGCCTCAGGGAAGAGGGCTGGCTGTTGCAGGAGAAGCCTGGGTTAAGACGGGCATGTGCAAGAGGTCATGAGAGAACAGGTTTGATGCTCACCTCGCAGGTGCCTGCTTTGCACTGAGCATATTGGCAAGCAGAGCCAGAGAGGTCTGAAAGCAGAAGGCCAGGTGTGCAGCCCAGGATGGGAGGCTGCTCAGGCAAGGCTTGCAGCCTGCCTGCCTGTCTGCTGCTTTCATTTTTCCTCAGTTTGTCACATCGAGACCTTTACTCTAGCCATACAAAATGCACTACAAGCAAATCTGGCCTTGTAGGTTGATGAACTTTCACCAAATAGATAAGAGAACACAGCTTCAGATAACAATATGTTAATGAATGTTAAGCGCACAGCATCTCCTAACATTCTGCGTCAACAAACACACACACTGGCAAAACACGCCTCCGCTATAAACACTCAAACTTACTGTTTGTTATTTGTTTCCCTGAAGCCACTGCACTACGTTCTGTGCCTGGACCTAATGCTCCAGCACACATCATCAGTCATAAAAAGAAAATAGCACGATATATGCTTGTCATAAAATTAAAAGACTTGGGATGTATAGTTCTAAAGGAAGATACAAACCAGTCAAGACTATTTTGTAGTGAATAATCCTGCAGCAGCAAAAACCTGTACTACAGGGCTATTTTCCATAGCTTGTGTACCAGTGTCACCATGCTCCTTCACTACAGTCTCCACCAATCCTTTACCCTCTTTGGGAGAGCTGTTGCTTAAGAGAAGGGAGAGGCTGCGTTTTCCAGAGCACATATATGGTGTTAATTTTATATCTCTCAGTAAGAGATGCAATAATTCAAATGATGCAATGAACACCAACCAGAAGACCAGCAACTATTAGGAAAGTGTAAATAAATGAACAAGTCAAGCATAAGGGACTTTTCTTTAATTAACAAACTAAAAAGTCCTTTGTTCAAGAAATCTTCCTGATGCTTTCACTGTGAGGGTGGTCAGACACTGGAACAGGTTGCCCAGAAAAGCTGTGGATGCCCCCTCCCTGGAAGTGTTCAAGGCCAGGTTGTATGAGGCTTTGAGCAACCTGGTCTAGTGGAAGGTGTCCCTGCTGATGGCAGGGGGGTTGGAACCAGATGACCTTTAAGGTCCCTTCCAACCCAAACCATTCAATGATTCTGTGTTCTACCTCAGTACTCTTAGACCAATTGATTCAGCCTCTCAAGGAAGCCTAAGAGCAGTGGCTGGCTTCACGGGGAGACAGAGCTTTACACTCTGGTGAGACTCAGTTTTCTTTGCATTGAAGAGAGTCAGCCTGGCAGCCCTGGAAAATGGCTTTGCTGACAAGGCCCATCTCTGCAGACCTGGCTGTGCTCCCCTCCCACCAGTGCTTCAGCCAGCAACACATCAGCACAAGTCAGGCATGCAGAACCTGGCCCCAAAACATAGAGCAAGCCTCCAGCAGCCCTAGTAGCGAGAAGGTCATTAGTCTTCACACTGATTCTCAACCATAATCACTGACTTCAGCCGTGCTAGGTATAAAGACAAACCTGGTCCATGTGCTCAAACGGCTGGTTACGACACATACTCATGCACCTGATGACGTGAATTGCAGTTCAGATTTGCCAAAGCTGGATTTTTTAAGAACACAACAGGAACATGCACCTTCTACTTGGTTTCTGTGCTGGAGAGGACTTTGCAAGTGAGCTGTATCCTTTACCGTTCTCTGCAGCTGGCTCTGACAGATACTTAAAGGGCTAAACTAAAGACTTCTGCTCTCCTGAAAGTGAGGATATCTCATACTTGACTATTTTGAAATCCTCATCTAGACATGGCACATCCAGAAAGGCTACTTACATCAAGTCTTTAGGCACCAGTGGGATTCTCAGGCTCCCAAGAACCTCACCTCTTCAGCCTACGTGGGTATGGGGACAGCTAGCTATAAATTGAAGGCTGACAACTCCTCAGACCTCTCACCAGTGCTAACATGATGGGATTGTCCAAAGAGGGCTTTCGGTGCTTGTTTTGCTGGTAGAGGCCAACCCAGCAGCAACTCCCAGAATTGTGCCTCTCAGACCAGAATCTGCAGCAACACAACTGAGAACAGCCCCAGGAGAGCACGCATGGAGGGGAAGCTCCCTGTTCACACGTGCCCAGAAAGTGAGCTCTGTGGTCCAGAGCTGAAGGGCTCTTCCCAGACCCTTCTGAAGGAGCTTTCCATTTTGTACAAATAAAATAACCCGACCTTCTCCCATCCCCAGCAAGTGCCCTAGTCACTGACTTTTTAGGATCCACACTCTTCCTTTCCAGTCTAAAAATCCATCTCCAAGTCAAAGTGATGACCAGCAGCAGACGCCCAGCTCAGTGGAGAGCACCTGACTGACAGATGTGTATGTAAGACACAGGCACACCTCTCCCTCAGCCCCAAGGGCTTCTCTCCCACACTCCTACACCTAAGGTTGCAGTGAGACGCTCAAGCTTGTCTGAGGCTTTACCTACAGGTCTTCATGTCATGGGATGAGGTCACTTCATCCTGGAGCAAGTTCCTAACTTCCACAGGAATATGTAGAAACACTCTAAATATGGAGAGAGTTTCCCATAAACACATGGGAGAGTTTTCCCATGGAGAAGATATTGGGAATCTCTCTTCTCCCTAGCAAAAGTCATGGGCAGGAATGGTTTATTACCAAAACACACCACGGGAGCATTGCAGCAATGATCCATTCTGATTCAACACACTACTTCTTAACTGGTGGGGACAAGCAGTTTCACTCACACATGAGTTCATACAGTACAGCCGTAACAGCTCCTAACAGTATTTTTCTGCTTTCCACTTCTAGGTTAACAGGTTTTTATTTGACTTTGATAATTCTGATTTGCTTGATAACCCTGGGTGCAGCCGGGATCGTTAACAGCTTTCTGGATGAATACCTGGACTTCAGCATTATGAAGAAACTACGTAGATTGTTCTAAACACTGGGTTGGTTTGGGGTTTTTTAAATAAATAAATAATGCGGATGCTTTCCCTGTATAAGCTGCATGTGCATAAAAGCATCAGAGCTCTTTCCTAACAGCCCATTGCAATGTAAAATGCTTGTTTTCCCTGAGCTATTTACGCTTTCTCCTTCCCCTACGCTCTTGAAAAATCAGTAAGACAGAATGTCATGTCACATCTGCATTTACAATTAAATGTTCTGGTTTTCTGTACAGTATTGTAAACCCTCAACAAATTACATAGAACTGAAACCATTAATTCTCTAAGTAATTTAGTTGCAACCGGCACTGCAAACATCAGCCCATCTTACCCAACGTCCTTCAGCTTTGCCAACGCCTCTGTGGTCATCCTTCACACCTCTTCATTTCCCCAGCAGTGCCACCCGTTCTCCACAACCGTACAACCACACTTCAATGCAATGTGCTGCTGCGAGGTCCCAGTTTTCCAAGTATATCCAATCCTGCTGCAGGAGGCTCTTTAAGCAAATATGGAAACACTGCTTTCTTCAGGAAAACATTTAAAGCTGCACTTGACCCTACGTTTCTGTGAAAACCTTTTGATTTTATACACACGTTTACAGTTCAGCCCATGCTCAAATGCTCTTCTCGTAGAAGTGGGGCCCTCCTGTAGGCAGATCTCAGTCCTCACACAAAGCCTCTCAAAGACAGGCTGTATCCACAACCCTGCACTTGTGAATGGGAGAGCCGGCCCAGACAAAAAGAAGGCACAGATGCTCATCTAACAATTGGGTCTACTGCATTGTCTCCTACCAAGGCACAGATGGCCGGGGTGTGGGGAAGACTAGACAAATGTCCCAGCATGACCACAGCTCTGGAAATCATAAAATGACAATGAAAAGCAAACTGACTAGTAAAAGTTTTCTGCTAAAAGTGGGGGAAAGTCATGGCTCAGCACCATCAGCTCAAAGTATGCTGATAGTCAGTTTAAACTAGGTAAAAGAACAGAGAAGCAAGGCCATGCCTGACTATTTTGGTAGCTCCTGATAATTCAATTTATTTAGGCAATAATGAATATACCCATGCTAGAGCCAGCAGGCAGAAATTTTCCTTGCCGTGCCTCTGAAGACACAATTTAGCCAAAAAGATTGCACATTGATATAATGAACATGTTTATGGTCTTTCTAAAAGTGTACCGAGGTGGATAACCTGAGCACAAAATAATTGACTCTTGGATCAGGTTAATAATAAACTTTCATATGAAAAAGGCGGACACATTGCATGTGCAGAAGATAGCTTGTGACTAAAAGGCACTTGAAACCATCAAATGAGACAAGTGCGAAGGTGCACGACTTGGCTCCAGTAACAGCTGCCAAGGGGAAAAGGACAGATCCTGATGATGAACAGGCTGGAGCTGACACAGCTGCGGAAAGGGCAACTCCTGGTACTTGCCTCCAGGGAGAAAGTACAACAGGGCCAGATTTAGCAACCACAGAAATAACCGCTGATTCTCCCTCTAACTTTCCTTCTGAGGGATGAAAGACAGAAATTCCACCTGCCAGTGATGCCTTCAGACATTCATGGGCAGCAGGAAGTGCTGCCACCAGAATTAAAACCAAGACAAAGGTCCAAACTACGCAACAGGCCTGAAATACGCACTAGGGGAATCCCAGAAGTCACTAACTGTGGTCAAATGGGTCTTTGCCTCTGAAATTATTCCATTCCAAGCTTACCTGTTGTAGTGGTCTGCTGTGTTTATAGATAGCTTCCCATACCCCATCTTCTCTCTTCTCTTCTCTTCTCTTCTCTTCTCTTCTCTTCTCTTCTCTTCTCTTCTCTTCTCTTCTCTTCTCTTCTCTTCTCTCTTCTCTTCTCTTCTCTTCTCTTCTTCTCTTCTCTTCTCTTCTCTTCTCTTCTCTTCTCTTCTCTTCTCTTCTCTTCTCTTCTCTTCTCTTCTCTTCTCTTCTCTTCTCTTCTCTTCTCTTCTCTTCTCTTCTCTTCCTCTCCTCTTCTCTTCTCTCTCTCTTCTCTCTCTCTTCCTCTTCTCTCTTCTTCCATTCCATTTAAAGGAATAAACTGCTGTCACACAGGGACAGTTTCACATGCCAAAAAATGTGGGTGTGAGGTTGCAAAGCATCATCCAGCAGCACAAAGCCAGAGTGCTAGCGGATAAACACAAACCTAACATTTTAGGAGCCGCACCAGCTAACGAGAGGGCAGCAGTAGGCCTAGAGTTGAGGATGTCACCTGTCTTCTGAGTCACTGCTTTTCCCCCAGTGCCCCGTTATCCACATTTAGAATGGTAAAGGTATGACATGAAGGACAGAAGGGGAAACTCACCTTAGAGGTTGTACGTGGAGCCAAGCCACACTGACATCCCGAACAGCAAGCTGTGCAAACAGAGGTCCAATGCCTGATCTCCCAGAACTCCCCCATAGACTGGAAACATGGAGAAATCAGTGTTGAGCCTTGAAGGGTACATGGCATGTTTGTCTTGAACAGGTCATATAAATCCAACAAGTCTACATGTGCTTTCCAAAAGGCTTCAGACAACACAGTTCTCACTTTGTAGTAGTAGTAGGTGATAGGGAACTTAGAGTACTAAGCATGCCTCTTCACTCTTCTCCAGTTCACCCATCTCTTCTTTCCAACTCCTACATCCAACCCCACATCTTCTTTCTTCCACTCCACCGCATCTCCCCAGGTCTCAGCCACAGAATTTTCATTCTGGGCTCTCCATCTTGTGTCCTCCCCTGAAAGCACTTCCCGACTCCAAAAAAAACGGAGTAAACACAAAAGCCTGGGGCTGCCACCTCTAAGGGGCCCAATGATGAACCAACTCCCCTGCAGCAACTGCCAGAGTGCAGACCTCACCCCAGGGCACAGACGGCTTTGATCCTTGCTCTGGGGAGGGGGCACCATGACCCCAAAGCAAGGCAGACACCTGATGAAGCGCTCCCACCCCGCAGCTCATCACCACAACCTGTGGCTGTGCGGCCGCAGGGGAGCTGCCCACTGTGCTGCTGGGGTGCGGGGGGCTTCCCAGCTGCTGGACAAGCCCAGGGCAAGGGGGACAGCCTGGTACTGGCCATACCCTGCCTGTCACACCGCCACTCCAGTACAGAAACCCAGAGCCAAAACCAAGCCCACCTGGGCTGGCTTCCCTCCTCCCCATGGAACATCCCCTGCCGAGGTGCAGAAGTGGGGCGACAGATGATCCTATAAACCTGGTATATGACTCAGATAACCATCTTTTATTTTTTTGTTGTTGTTGTTTTTGTTTTTCTTTAAAAGTGGTATGTTAACATCAGGTCTTTTTCTACATTTTTCAGAGCTCTGTACAGGTCTTTAAAGGAAATAAGCAATGCTTAATGTACAAAGTAAAAACAGAAAACTAGAAAAATCTGAATAAAATGGAGCAAGTTGCTGTCAGGGATACAGTACAAATTAGTAATCAGACGTCATCTGAAGTGCAATACCACTGCAGTAAGGATGAGTTAAGGAATGAAATAAAAATACTCTATTTTAAACAAACAGTATATATATATATTTTTTATATGTATATATTTTACAGATAGTAGACCCAGTGATATCTGTAGAATTGTAAAAACATATTTACAAATAACTTTTTTTTTTTTAATATTACATATACATCAGCACCATAGTAAGAAAGAAAAAAACCAAACCAACAAACCAACAACCCCAAATCTATTAAAATCTACCTCTCTAGTACTTGGTCCCAGTACGGAGTATTTGGAGGAAGCTTTACAAAGACAGCAGAGGCTCAGTCTCCATCACCAGTTCTCCACCAAAGCCCGTGTCTCCCTCACGCACACGGATTTGCACGTGGCCGCTGCATGGTGGTTGTGTGTTTCTAAACCCCCATTTCCCAACCCTCTGTGTTGGCAGGTGCCCCGTGGTCACTCACACCTGAGAAAGGGATGATGTGCTGTCCCCGGCGCTGTGCCCCGCACAGCACCACCCTCCTCCTTTCAGGGCACCATTTCTCCTTGTTTGCCCATCCCTCCCGTCCAGGCCAGTCCGACCAAGAGCCACTTACACACAAGATGGACCAAAATCTTTGGCTGGTGCTCTCTTTCACTGAATTAGGGCCCAACCCAGCTCCTGCTGCAGCAGTGGAGAGGCAAACCCCTATTGTCTTCAGCAAAAATGCGAATAGGTCCTTGCGTTGTATTTTTAAAGGGATTAGCTAAAAGATATGTAACTAAAGCATTTTTTAAAAATATAGCAGTCAGGGCGAGCTGGATTGATAGCTCACCCTGACCAGCTAGGCCATGTTAAAAATGCAGCTTGTCCTGCCTACCCCACAGCGTTTAAAACACATCCTTCCCCTTGGCTAGGTAAGCCCTTCAAGGGAATCCTAACGGGGCACTGAGATGGTTCCAGGCCCATTTTGCTCCCTCTCCTTAATGTGATGCCTATCTGTGCTCCACAGGGAAAGGCAGGACTTGCAAACACAAGGTGCCAAACCCCTCGGCTCCTGGGGATTCCGGTGGCTCAGCACCTCGCACCGCTGGAGCCCAGGAGAGCAGCGCACAAGGAGGGCATCGGCAGCTGGGGAGCTGGTACTGGTCGTTGTACACCAGAGACACTTTCACTGCAGAGCACAGCTATGGCTCACAGAGGCCAGCATTAGGCCAGAGGCTCCCAAACTTTTTGGGCTGTGGATCACGTTAACAATTTTTAGGCACCGCTATATAACCTGATAAGTTGAAAACACTCAAATGGTGACAGGTTTTGGGGCACAATCTCAGGGTGCGGCACGGGAACAGCTGCTTTAGACATTCAGAATGGCTGGCATCTCAGTATTGTGCGAGACATATCCCAACTTCATTGCAGTGCTGCTCAGCACTGGTCCACACAGTGGAGATACTGATACGTCACTATTACCTAAAAGCTTATTTGGGCAGATGCCATGTTTGTAATAACTACATCAGTTACTGTACCCATCCATGAATGATCATTACAGCAGTCCTTCTCTGGTTCCTGCTCTTCAAATACTGCAGTGAATTGTATTCCAGCAAACTAGAGAGATTAGACCAAAATGAAGATCAGGTTGCATATAACGTCATGTTGAGAGCCCAGACACTCCAGGGTAATATTATCTGCTGACCTTGCACTTTTCAAGAGGAGAGGAGAAACTCATTCCGCGTGCCAAACCCTCCTTGGGCATTTTCTCCTGCCTGTTTTCTCCTTCCCCGCCTGCCCCTTTGTGGTGGTTGTTGCTCACTTCAAAGCAAGTGCAGCCAGCTCACCTTGCTTCACCCTGAAGGCCAGGGAAGGAAGTGAACGGAAACATACTGGGGACGAAGGAGAGAGGGGCACCCACTTAGGACTTACACTGATGTCTCCTGGCACCTCCTTGCCCTTTCACACCGTTTGCAGCTGCTGTTCTGCACCCCCAGGCAGCAGACACACGCCAAAGCGCTCTGACAGGTAAGCGCTCCTGCACCTCCTGAGGGGACTACAGAGCTCATTAAGTCAACCCACCCACCTAAGCCATCTCCAGCAGCACTCCCATCATCAAACTGTCCTCACTGCGCTGCCAAAGTTATGGTCTCCTACACTTTTATTGGGCTTTTATCACTCTGCAATGAAAATCCCTGTGACTGTTTAGATTTGTCACGTGTGTGCTGCACGTTCCCTTGTGACAGCCCAGAGCTGGCCCTGTGGGTTTGGCCATGGCTCCCTGAGACCTGCTTACCCCTGGGGTTAAGCCCATTTCCAACCAGGGCCTGTGCAAGTGCCTGTGGACATCTTTAGGCTTTGCTCCCGGCTGTTTTCATCTGCTCCCCTGGAAGTTGCAGTGTTTATGGAAGGGAAGTTGCAGTGTTTATGTTTACGTGAGGGGGGAGCCCTACCACAACCACTCCATACCACTGTGCAATGAAGCCTCATTTCAGTGGGGAAAGACCAATTTTTCCCAACCAGAGGCATCAGATGGCGTTTCCAGTTTCCCCATCCTGCCACCCCCCCCCCCCCCCTCAGCGCAGGGGCTGCCACGCCACAGAGATTGCTTGGTAGAAGTCTTGGGATGCCAATGTTCTCATCATCCCCTGACTCTTCCCAAGTTGGCTACGGATCAGCTCAGTTTGCATGATTAAAAACAAAAGAAAACAAAAACGACCCCAAACCATGGGGAGAACATCCAACTCTCTCTTTTCTTTTTTCAAATGCAACAACCAAAGCTCTAGACTATACAAGCCCGTTCACTGGGGGTTTCCAAACAACTCATCAAGTTCTTGTATCCACTCATCCCCTGGTCCGCTCTTAATGATGGAGTCCACAAGGTCAGTGCCCTCTGCTAAACTGGAGAATGACCCCCCCGCCCCTTCACTGCTGTAGTTGTAAGGTAGGTCCTGAGTGGGATTCCTCTCGTAGGCCTGGCCTTGGCTGCTCTGAGCAAAGTTACCACCTGGCATTTGCTGCGTCGGAGGCTGACTAAAGCTGGACATGGTGGGGACCCCTTGGCTTATTGCGGGCATCACCATTGGCCTGGCCTGGCTGGCTCCTTGTTGCCCAGGTAGTGGTTGCAGCAACTGTCTTCCCATCGCTGGGTTCAGGGCTCTTACTGTTCCACTCGTGTCCACAACTGTCTGATTAAGCACCTGTGGGAAATGTTGCTTGGACAGCCGTGGCTGCCCGGACTGCATTGGGTATGTTGTGCCATTGTTGAAGGGCCCCATTTCACTGCTAGTCCTTCCAGGTATACCTTGTAAGCCTCGCTGCTGCCAGTTCTGTGTTCCTTGAGGGACAGTCCCCATCAGGTTTTGAAGTCGTGGTGCTTGTGGCCTGGGTAAGACCTGGCCCACAGGTCCTTTCATCTGCTGCTGATGCTGGGGAAGAGCAGAGTTTACCAGCATGTTCTGACCAAAACTGCCAACCATTCCCACCGCTTGTCCAGAGGCAGGCTGCCTCGTGCCCTGGCCTGTGTTATGTGCCATGTTCATGCCGCTTTGGTTTGGGTGCTGCAACATTTGGCTCATCCCTGTGCTCATACTGTACATTCCTGGCTGGCTGGAGGAGGTGTTGCTGTAGGGAGCCATGCCCATATCTGACTGGCCTGCGGTCGTGGGCAGCGTGCTTGGGTTCTGGGAGGGACCCATTGACATCATGCTCGCGTTCTGGGCCATCATTCGGGATGTCCTCATGCTCTGGAGTGCTGCTTGGTTTCTCACAGCTGCTAAATCCTGGGGAGAACCTACACCAAAAAGGGAGGAAGGTAAGAAAAAACGCAACCCTGTAAATCTTAATTAACACCTTTTCTGCATAAGAGAATCTGCAGGAGCCTTCGGCATCACAGTAGGATTTCAGATTGCTGCGCTCTCTGAGTGAATACATTTTTGTTTCACACGAAGGTTAGCAGAGAGCTACAAGGTCATCATCCCTGAGGGATATGCTTGCTGCCTAAGGTCAGCTGCATTTCAGGGATTACATGTTCCCCACCTCACTCTGGCTGCAGCCCCTGTCCCCTCTCCTTGAAGGTGAGAGACAGCACAGCTGGAGCACTGCCCCAAACAGGAACTGTTGCTGGTGTTATGTATGCAGCGTGCGAAGCAGGACACTGTTCAGCAGAGAACACCATCAATGCAGACAAGCAGCCTCATTTCCCTCAAAGCCTCAAATGAGGCTGGCAAGGTTAAAAGGCTGATGATTTACTCACTAAGTAATTCTCAATTACGACAACTTTGGGATATGTACCTAAAGGGATTCACGGCTTCAGATTCCTGAAGAATGGAGGCAACACGATGGCACACATGATGGATGATTAGAGCCGTGGCTGCCTCTCTGATGAGAACCTACTCAGGTACCTAAGCCAGACAGCCACAGGAGATGCAGGGCTAAAATAAGCCTCCCTGTCTTTTACTTCATTAGGACCAGAGATTAAGTTTTTAGGAAATTACCTGGGAGTCAAAGTCCCCTTTCAAAAATAAATGTGAGTCTTTCTTTTTGTGTGTATTTTTTTGGACAATGCGCATCCTCCTCCATGAAAACAAATTAGTCCCTCAGACTTCCAAGTTGCATAAGCACTGTGATTCAGCAGCGCCCATCTTCAGATAAGCCTAATTCAGCTTCTAGCAAGCAAATGAGAAAGCTTCCACCAGCTGCCTTCAATGGCAGCAAAGCAGCCAAACTTCAGTTTACCATTTGAAGCTCTCTTTTAAATATCTCCATTGTCTTGCAAAAGCAAGTCTTGAAAATGGAAATGTCAGGCATAGAAGGCCAATCAATTTTTTAATAGCTCAGGAGGCATAAATGGATGGATTTTCTATATCGCTGTTACTGATTAAGTCTATGGAAAGAAGAAAAGTTGTTTTTTGGGGACATTTAAAGCAGAGAGAGTGTATTAGTGAATCGATATTATAAGCACATTTTACTTCACCTTAGGCCAGGGATGGGAAACCAGAAAATTCTAACCTTGTCAAATTCCATGCTGTGGCAGACAACTGAACCATGCCTGTGTCCTTTCAGGGGTAGGGGGAGAAGCCAGTAATACAGCCACACTTCTGTATTTACTATCTTTCTTTAAAAAAACAATTACTGTAGCTCTGATTATGCCGTGGGTTCATTGTGGCTCTGAGTCACTACCATACTGAACTACGGACAATACTCTGCAGGTGGAGCTCCAAGAGCATGAGGCACAGAATTACTCCCAGCTCAAACATTATTAAATGCATGATATAAATATAAAATGGTTGCTTTAAGAGTCATAAACTGCACAACAAAACCCAAATGTTCTTAAATCAGCCCCTACGTGTTGTCCCTCGGTGGCAAACAACACACCTGAACCTCTGTAGAGAATTAAGAATACTGGACCCTGTTCTTTACACTGGTTTGGTTTCCTTGGTGGGTATGAATAAAGGAAGTGTCAACCCTGTAGTCTTGCAGATGTGATGCAGAGGATGGTTATGCCTGCAGCAGCGTAAGCTTCTGGAGGATGCTTTTAGCTCATCTCCCCAACATGTAGATAAATGAAACATTCTGTAGTGTGGAGAGAGACCATCTGGATCTCACTTGCACAGGGCAAATGTAGTGGCAGCTCTCACTTTATGCTATCAATTAAATCGTTTGCTTAATGATTGGCACTGAGGTCTCCTTGCATTTTCTTAATTTAGATCACCTCCTTCTTCCATGATCAGAAGCTGTCTCCTTTTGCTATGATTCCAGCAGGTGCTTAAATGTACAGATAAGGATAAAACTGAATGCATCTTTAGCTATTTTTTAATTGAAAACCTCCAAAGGAGTCACTGCCAGCAAGCAGTTCACATACTACTTTTCTGAGCTACTGTGCTTGGCACAAGAAGCAAGAGTTCAGACAAGAAATAGTTAAAAGAGAGATGAATGAAACAGATTTTAAGATTTTGGGCCACCTTCTGGTCTCACTTACACATTACCTACTGCACTTGATTACATTCTTGTGACTAAATAGGAAAAAATGGTGAAATATTTATTAGCTCATTTATGAAAATTAATTCCTTGCTCTGTCAGATTAGCCTAAACTCTCTTCTGCTCTTTTAAATAATACATATGAAGGCAAGGTTTCAAAAAAGCATTAATGTAGAAAGATTTTACATGTGCGTCTCACAGCAGTGCACACACATACATTTTGATTTTGCAAATGAATTATTGGGAAAAAATTCATTTCATACAGAATTGATGCTGCCAAAGACAGGAACGAGCAGGTGATTATAGAAGGAGTCAAGCTGATACATACCAGCAGAAGATCTGGCTGCCTGTTTGCTTTCTGGGCATGAGAACTGCAATTGCCTCCCATGTTTTCTGTTGCAGCTATGTGATGCTATCATGAATATACAGCACAAGTGCACGTTCATTTCATGTCTATTTAGAATCCATGCTTAGTGAAGACATTCAGCTGATGCTTTGCACCCAAAAATCTCAGAATTAACTTATTTTCCTAAGACAAAATGATTGTCCCTACATTCTTCAGTTGCCTGTGAGCACATTAAAATAACACGTGCTTTCTTTTCAGAACATTAACAAAAATCTCCAATTTAATCTTAGTTATTGCACTGTTTCCCACACCTGACATTTATCACACACTTCTCCAGATAAAGATGGCCTCTCTAAAATTCCCTGCTCATCAAATTAGATGAAGTGGGGAATGAAGGAGTAAAACCAAGATACAGTGAAAGATACTAGCTGAAAAAAAAAGCATAATGAGAGTGGAGGCAAACCAGATAAATTCATAGATCCAGATGTCAAAGAGGCAAAACTTTCACGTGCCCACTACAGGGGCACACAGTGGCTCAGTATAGGAAAAAGAATGTGACTTTTACCTTGGAACTGATTGACCTGTTGCACTGGATACGGGCTCCGCTGTTGCTGCAGATGCTGCCGAGGCAAATGTGACTGCTGCTGCAACTGCTGAAAATGAAGGAGGGGAAGAAAGAAGAAGAGAAAAAGATGGTGAATTAATAGGCAAGCTGAGAAAGGGGCTGGTGGCAAAAGTGCTGCAGCAGAACTGCAGTGTTTCTTATCTAGCAAGCTGTTCTGGAGAGACAAGCAGAGTCATCTGAAGAGTCCTCCTGAGAGCACTTGGGCTACTCAGCACACAGACTCTTTTTTGTTCAAAAGGAACAAGCACTGAGGCTAACATCACCTCTCCTTACTTACAACCACTTCATCTTTACCTCTACAGTGCCAACCTGACTGTCTTCAAGCTGGAAGGAGAGGGAGGAATATGAAGTATCTTTGCTCACCTAGGTCTAAGGGCAACTGTAGCCACACAGCTTTTCCTTCGCCCAGCCCTGCCAAGGTCCAGAGGTTTGTGTTCCTGGCGCAAGACTTCCCTCCACCTCTGCACTCAAAGCACTCAGCTGCAAGGAGGACTGCACCCTGACCCCAGCACTGCGGCCTAGGACCATTCTCCAGCCAAAGCAGAAAGGGCTGCTAAGGCACACTTCCTCTCGAAATGTGGAACATCCTTCACTGACTGATATTTGGGGAGCAGGTGACTGCAAAATGCCTCCCTCCCCCGATCCAGCCCGCGCTGCTCCCCTGTGGATATTTTCTATGAACACTCAGGCATCTAAAACAGAATCAAGGGCTGATTATAAAAACAGAGAGTGTGTTTACCAGAACTTTCAAAGCCCAGGGTACACTTGACTAAGCAATCATTAAAGGGACACGTCTTGGTGCTTCATCTACAGCTGTGCAAATGCTGTGTCCAAAACCGAGGCTGTGTAACAAAGGTAAGAAAATGGCAAAGGTGGGAAAGAAGCAAGCACTGGTCCCCGGGTTCATAAATACGGGATACAAACTACCAGAAAGATAAAGGGAATCTTGTTAGGCACAAAGCACTGGAAAGCTAGGAGCCTGAGGGCTGTGACTTCGCCACTTTTCATCTACACCAGCACACCTGACAGCCACAGTCTTGTGGTTTTTCGACACTTCTAAGCTTGCCTTCAGCAGCCAGGTCAATGACTGGTTCTTGGGTTTGTGCACTGGAATCGGCCTAACCCATTGTGGGGGAACATTACTGCATCCTCACTCTCCACACTTGTTTACAGAATCACAGAATTGCCTCGATTGATTGGAAAAGACCTTAAAGGTCATCGAGTCCAATCGTTAACACAGACAAGTCCTTGACTAAACCATGTCCCTTTACCTCTGAACCAATTAATGCCTCTTTACCCTGAATATTTCTAGGAACATCTTTCCTGTTCATTGCAGGTGATTTTTTCTGCTTCTCAGGAGGAACATGAGAAGAGGGGAAGGCTGTCAGTATTTCTGTAATTATACGACATGCACAAGTTTTAACTCAAATTGAAGTAGATCCCAGATCTTAACCTGTATTTCCCCAGCAAGAGAGGTGAAGCCAAGCTTAAAGCTACTACTGACCTACCAGAACATTTTCTAGGTAGCATTAGGGGACTGCAAGTTTAAACTTGGGTATGAACTTACAGGAACTGAACAGTGTGACTTTCTCCTGGGTTGCTTTTAGGATACAGCTGAGTTACAAATGCATAAAACATCACAGTTCAGACCAGGTAATTTAACATCCGTATCACAAACCCCGAGAGCTCCAGCAGCCAGGTGACAGGCTCCAGGGCAGCAGTTAGAATCACAGAATGGTTGGGGTTGGAAGGGACCTTAAAGATCATCCAGTTCCAACGCCCCTGCCATCAGCAGGGACACCTTCCACTAGACCAGGTTGCTCAAAGCCTCATCCAGCCTGGCCTTGAACACTTCCAGGGAGGGGGCGTCCACAGCTTCTCTGGACAACCTGTTCCAGTGTCTCACCACCCTCACAGTGAAGAACTTCTTCCTAATATCTAATCTAAACCTGCCCTCTTTCAGTTTAAAGCCATTTCCCCTTGTTCTATCACTAACTGCCCTTATGAAAAGTCCCTCCCCAGTTCCACACTGCCACTGCAAGAGGTGGTTTGACTCTTCTCCCACTTCAGCTTCTGGCCCCGTCCTTCATGCTCCCTATCCCTTATGCTAACACAATTGCAGGTACTAGTATGTGACAAACCAGATTAAGGAACCTATCTGGGTAAACACTGATTTTTTTTTTCTTTGCTAGGTCACTTTTAACCCATGTCAGTTCTTTGTCCCAGATCACTGCATGGCTGTACATAGCTTTTGCCAGTGCAAGACCATAGTCAGAGGCAGGGGAGAGGACCAGCAACTCTAACTGTAGCAGAATCTGCTTCTGACAGAATAAATCCACCATGAGATATCAGATTAAGAGTGGACTTTTCCAGTGTCTAAAATCCCATGCAACTGCCAAGCCCACCACTGGGAACATGGGTGACATTAGCCAAGCTAATAGCAGGACTGCAACAGATGCTTCTTCTTTGATAACCATTGCTGAAATACCACAATATGAACCACAGAGAGAGAACCATAGAACAGCTTGGGTTGGAAAGGACCTTAAAGATCATCCAGTTCCAACCCCCCTGCTGTGGACATGGTTGTCAACCAGTAGATCAGGCTGCCCAGGGCCCCATCCAACCTGGCCTTGAATGGCTCCCGGGATGGGTTGCTTCTCTGGGCAACCTGTTCCAGTGTCTCACCCCCCTCTGGGTGAAAAACTTCCTCCTGATATCTAACCTAAATCTCCCCTCAGTTTAAAACCATTTCCCCTTGTCCTATCACTATCTACCCATGTAAAAAGTCACTTAAGAAAAAAGAATGATCAGATATAGAAGGAAGGGCAGGTGTTGCACTATCTCTAGCGCTTCTGCTTTCACACCAGCGTGCACTGCAGTGCCTGAGACAAATAGACAGGATACTGTACCTGCTCTGCTAGGATCTGCTGCTGCTGCTGCTGCCTTTGCTCTCTTAAAAATTGTTGTTTCTGCTGCTCTATCACGTGGAGCTGGGCTCTCTGCTCCATCAGCATCTGCTTCATGATGGCTGCTTGAGGTTGGTTTCCCAGGAAGGGACCCCCAGAGCTCGTGCCTGTGACCACGCTGCTTGAGCCTGTCGGGACAGAAGGCTGCATAGGCCCTGTGGTCCGAGCCAATCCCACTTGATGCTGTTCCTGTGCAAAGAGAGAGAGAGAGAAGGCCATGTTACTCAGGGTGCTCGATGGGCATAAGAAATAATGGCTCGTTCACAAGAAGCATTCAGACGTGGGTGAGGATTGGAGCCTGAGGAAAGGAAGAGTCCTGGGAAAGATGCTCGTGACTTGTGACCAAAGCCATGGCCTGTTCCCCACAGGGAAAAGGTGCCAGGTTACAGAATCACAGAATGGTGGGGGTTGGAAGGAACCTCAGGAGATCATCTAGTCCAACCCCCCTGCCAAAGCAGGTTCACCTAGAGCAGGTTGCACAGGAAAGTGTCCAGGCGGGTTTTGAACATCTCCAGAGGAGCCTCCCCAGCCTCTCTGGGCAGCCTGTCCCAGGGCTCTGTCACCCTCACTGTAAAGAAGTTTTTCCTTAGGTTTGTGTGGAACTGTTGGTGTTCCAGTTTGTGCCCATTGCTCCTTGTCCTGTCAAGGTTCCTCTTCTCTCCTGGAGTTCATAGAATCATAGAATGGTTTGGG